GTTTTTCCTTTTATGTACCAACAAACACAAAAAAAGGAAAAACAAAAAATGACTTCCATTTTATCGTTTTTCCTTTCATGTACGAGAAAACAAAAAAACGGAAACACAAAAATCGACTTCCGTTTTATCTTTTTTTGTTTTTTGTACGAACAAACACAAAAAACGGAAAAACGACAAATGACTTCCTTTTTATCGTTTTTCCTTTTATGTACTAAAACAAACAAAAACATACAAACGGAAACTGACTTCCGTTCTATCGTTTTTCTTTGTAAGTACGACCAATCAATGTAAAAAAAGAGCTGGATATAACCTAATTTTTCGTTTCTATTTTTTTTCGTTTTCTCTGGCTGTTTAAGTGAACAAAGAGCTGGGACAGAGAGGGGTCGAGGAGGGGGGGGGTTTGAGTGGGGGTTGGTGGTTCAATTCGGAAACTCGTCTAGGTGTTGTTGGTCAGCAGTTTTTATAACCCTGGTATGCGTCTTTTTCGGCGGGTCCTTCAAAAGTGGCGGGGATGGAAAACGTAGTTACTGCTCGCTACGTGAAGGAGCTTGTTGAAGAAACAAGGCAAAACACAAAAAAGAAGTAGCTGATATTCCAAGACAACAGCATCCAGCAGTGAATGGACTATCTGAAAGGAGTGTCAGGCGATTTTGTGCTACGAATGGCATACGGCGTTATGTTGATATTCATAATGTGGTTACACCTGCAATTACTGAGGTGATTGTAGTTCCCCTTCATAACATTAGATTCAGGTAGTGTGTAATATCGTAGCATACTGTAAAATTCCGAAAATAAGCCCGGGGGCTTATATTTTTCAAAGGCCCTTTTTGAGGGGCTTATTTTTGGAGGGGCTTATATTCGGAGAGGCTTATCTACGGAAGGAAATTTGCGTTTCAATATCGATTGGGCTAGCCTTATAGGGGGTGGTTGCCAGGAGGCCTGTCGATCTCTCACTGACGGATCAGCCCGTCCTACGGAACCGACCTATCGCGGATTCTGAGCCGGTAAGAGTGGCATTCGTTTCAAGTAACGCATGCGCACCAACATAGTCGGCTGCACTAAGTGGCAACGAAAAGGGAAGTCAATTATCATTTTACCGTTTTTGGTGTTTGGTCGTTAATAAAACGAAACACGTTAAAATGGAAGTCAGCTTACGTTTTCCCGTTTTTTGTGTCTGTTCTTTGAAAAACCAAGAAACGATAAAAGGGAAGTCGATTTTTGTTTTTCCGTTTTATGTGTTTGTCTGTAGATAAAAAGAAAAAGATAAAACGGAAGTCGATTTTTGTTTTTCCGTTTTTGTGTTTTCTCGTACATAAAAGGAAAAACGATAAAACGGAAGTCATTTGTCGTTTTTCCGTTTTTTGTGTTTGTTCGTACAAAAAACGAAAAAAGATAAAACGGAAGTCGATTTTTGTTTTTCGGTTTTTTTGTTTTCTTGTACATAAAAGGAAAAACGATAAAACGGAAGTCATTTTCGTTTTCCTTTTTTTGTTTTGTTTGTACATAAATGGAAAAACGATAAAACGGAAGCCAATTTCGTTTTCGTTTTTGTGTTTCTTCTTTCGAAAAAACAAAAAACGATAAAACGGAAGTCGAATTTCGTTTTTCGTTTTTTGGAAAAAGATAGCATAAAACAGTAAAAAGAAGATATTGAGTAATTTTTGTTATGGAGAGATAAGATTTATGGACTCAAGAAAAGAAACAAGGACTTCTGGAATTTTGGCAATTTTTGGAGATTTAACCATTATTTTTAAGTGCAAAAATTATTTGGCGCCTTCATATTATAAAATTTCACTAAAAAGGTGCTTTTAAAGCAAAAGCAATTTAGACACTTGTAACATTATAAACGAATTAATCGAAAAAGATGTCAATTTCATATCTTTCTGTTTGCTCAACATGGAGCAGAAAATTTAAAAAAAGGGTTGGCCGAACCGTGCACGGACCGAGAAGCTTTACCTGTGAAAAAATTCTGAAAGATTTTGCAAAAGGCTTGATAAGAAGGAAACAAAAAGAAGGGGACGTGAAATTCTAAATCGTGTTTCCAGCCAGGAACAACTTAAATTTATTCCAATAAGGTAAGTTTTAACGGCCTCCCTGAATCTATAAGCTGTAGTGAACTATCGTCGAGCAATGAAAAACATTGAACTGTTACTTGAAATATTTTTTGTTCAATTTTTGGTCACTTATGAGCACAGTTTGAAACGCTTAGGTTTGTTTTATTGTTTTGAAATTATGACAATTTTCACCGACTCAAATGCGGAAGACGAATTCGCTTTTTAACAGTTCAAACCCTATTTTGTCAATGACCTTACTTTGCAATAAGAACAATCTCTCTGAAGTCTTGAGTATTAGATTTTTTCATGGTACTTTATGGTTAAAAGAATTTCACGAGGTAAACGCTCTCAACTTCTGAAAGACCAAGCGATAAACAACTTTTAAATACTGCTGAGACAAGTGTACCAAGAAAGATACTTCCAAAACAAAAAAGCAACACACAAAA